CCCAAAGTCTGATTATTTCTTTTTCCTTTAGGTGAAAGCTAGGAGGAAGATTTATAGTACATTCTTGTGACACTTGGAGCCCTGGTGGTACAGTGGTTAAGAACTGACTGCTAACCAAAAGGTTGGCAGTTTGAATCCACCAGCCACTCATTGGAAACCCTATGAGGCAGTTCTACTCTGTCCTATAGAGCTGCTATGAGTCAGAACCGACTTGATGGAACAGGCTATTTGGGCTTGTGACATTGTCACAAGTAATTTCCTCAAGGGAACCCAAACTTTCATTTAAGAGGCTCTGGGTCTGTAGATTGGCTCAGGTATGGGAATTGGTGAGGGGCTGTCTCTCCATTGTGGTAACTTAAGGCAGACCTGTGTTCACCAGATTTAGTTGGTGATACAGATCAAGTAGGACTTTAGTAGGTTTCACATTTCAGTCCTTAGGGATACCATAATAAATTAGCCAACAGCATAGATACCTGTAGCCCAGGCCATTCTAATAACCACTCTGGCTCTGTTGCCCATAACTGTAACCGTGTCCACTTTGTCTCTGGCACTTAAGTACTGCCACTTGACCTCTGCCAATCTGTGATACCATCATTCCCACTTCGGATCTTGTTTTAAGAAACCTTAGATCTGCAGTGAAGGAGCTCTCTGCTCCTTTGTCCTTGCCCTTAGCCAAGAATTTAAAACATGAGCTAATTTTATTTCTGTAAACTCCACTGTACAATCAGAAGCAGCCATTCCACTCAAGTCTTCATATTCCTCATTTCCATTGCAATAGTGCAACGCAGCAGCCACTTGATCTGCCAAAGGCTTGCCTTCGATAGGACGTTATTGAACCATAAATGTTAAATATTTGTTGTGTGAAAAACAGTATCCCATTTCCCACTGATCATGATGTTATCACTGACTGTTAACTAGGTCAGATAACCAATCCCATATTATCACCTTAGGAAATCTATTTCCTGATCAATTTTTGGTGCTAAATACTGAATTAATTTTCTGCATGAAATAGGTATTAATCAATGTATTTCAAGCAGTTGTTGGCGGGTGCCATCAAGCTGATTCCAAACGATAGCGACCCCATGTGACAGAGTAGAACTAACCCATAGGGTTTTCTTGGCTGTAACCTTTATGGAAACAGATCACTAAATCTTTCTCCCATGGAGCCGCTGGGTGCGTTCAAACTGCCAACCTATCAGTTAGCAGCAGAGCGCTTAACCATTGAGCCAGCAGGGCTACTTTTTCAAGCAGTAAAAGCTTCAATTAAAAGGATTAGATGCTTATAAGATTATTAGTAACATGAAGGAATGAAACTCTGGGGACCACCCTTGTCTTTGACTTCAAATTCATGTGACCACGTCTGTAGCACAGAGCTGCCATAATTACTATCTCCATTACCACTGGCACATTCACAAAACTGGTGCCAAGATAGTGAAACATATAGTCTAGTTGTTGCCAACATTTATATCTGTAGAAGCCCACTTAATCACACTGCTACAGAAAGAGGGCATCTGCCTCCTGTCTGCCTTCCGAAAATTTCCCATGTGAGTGCCTCCTATTGACAAAATCTAAATTTGCATCCAGAACTCTGGTCAGAAGAGAATCTGAGAAATGTAACTTTTAGTCCTCCAGACTCTGTAGTACTGGGGCAAGGGAAGGGGAGAGAACATCTGAAAGGCGTGGGGATGGATTCGGTGTCAGTAAACATCTAACACATTAATCTAAAGATGGTGCTGGATTTCTGAAATAGTATTTAGGGCAGACTCTACGATGTAAACTGCATGTCTCAACTCTAATGATAACAGAAATTTGTTTCCCCAATTCCTCTGCTGCTCTTTTGCTCCATAAAATCCCATATTCCTTTTCTTTCTGGAAGAAAAATTAGATACCACTTTTATAAGGCTGACCCAAACCAGAAAAACCAAACCTGTTGCCATTGGATGGATTCCGGCTCAGTGACCCTATAGGACAGAGTAGAACTGCCCCATAGGGTTTCCAAGGAGCAGCTGGTGGATTCGAACTGCTCACCTTTTGGTTAGCAGCTGAGCTCTTAACCACTGCGCCACCAGGGCTCTCACAACAGCTGCTGGTAATAATGAAAACAGTTTGAGCATAATGAAACAATTAAATGTTGAATAAATATATCTTTGAAGAGCAGTTGTTTTATGATCATACATCTTTATTAAATTTTCCATGAGAACTGAAATCAGAAAATATTTGAAATGCAACTGTATGTTTGTACAGCTGATATATCCTAATTATATCTTTACAAAAGTTTAAATGTTCATTTGGCCCCCAGATTAATGAAACTGAAAACACTTGCCACACTCAAAGGTGAAGTGAGAATGTTGCTAACATAATGCTACCTACCATGCGAGACTCATGACCTACCCACCCTCTCATTATCAAATAGCTAGGTAATCATTATTCTTGAAAGACTGGTTCTTAGGAAAGCCTCCTCACAGGGAGGAGAAACTCAGCATAAATACAATGCATTATCAGTGACAGAAAAGGAATTTCAACTGGGTTGTTTTCCTTTTCCTCCATGGAAAACTCAAATAAAAAAATTAAAACTGAGGAAAAAACTAGCCCATTTCTCTAAAATTGCAGAAAATGGATTCAGGGATACCTAGAGACTGCAAAAATATGTGGAATATGCATATGGACTGGTGGAATTACATTTGTCTGTTAATTCAAACAGCAAGACCAGATGTCTCTTTACATCTCAGTCTTGTATTAAAATTGAGAAGTACTCGTTTCAAACCCCAGCTTTTTAGAAATGATATTTAAATCTTCCCAGATTTTTTAAGTTTTAGAATGGTTTTTAATTTGGACATAGTGTCTGTGTAGATTCAATTACAATGTGTCCTTCTGATAGCTGCATTAGATTAGTATAATTAGATAGATAGGCATCGAGTGATGTTTCAGCACGTATTCATCCTCAAAAAAAAAAAAAAAAAAATGGCAAGAACACATTCTCTGAGAAGATCTCACCTGTAAGAATGGAAAAATATATGCAAGTTAAATTTCTATTTAAGACCAGATAGATCTCCGAGGAGCAAAGGTATGAAGGAAACTTTGTTCATGTGTGAGCATGTGAACACGCCTCTCTGTGGTAAAATGAAAATGATCAAAAAAGGACCTAAATTTAGGCTTTTTTTAAAAAAATAGAAAAACGTTTTATTTCTCAAAGGTCACAGCAAAACCCGGACCCATAAGTCTAAAAGAACACCAAGAGGTAACTTGGATCATCTCTTGCCCACCTAGAAATTCCTTTAATTAATCCTCACCTAAAGACAGCTATGGCCTACCTTCTTTGTAAGTCACAAAGCTCTTTTGGTGATATAATACAGAATCTCATAATCCTCATCTGGTAGTGGTTCCATATATCAATTATAATTTCCCGTTTAGATCTTTGAATCTCCTCAGTGTATTAAAAAAAAAACAACAACAAAAAACTGTGCCATTCAAGTCACAGCTGTGCCTTACTTGCGTAATTGATGTTAGGAAAACCAACCTCTAACTCTTCTATGATTTATAATGTTTTGAAACATGTAATTTGTTTCTATTTCTTTCTTTTACAAATCTGCCTAAAACACCTAAGACTAAGCATGGATTCTAACAAATAACCACTATTAAGACTTGCTTTCCAAGGTCACTTGTCAAAATCACTTGCATGCTGAGTGCCAGGTGACCCATCTCCTTAAGCAGGTTTTATGGTTTCTGCTCAGATACTATGCTCCTGTGTATGTAGCTCAGCATCAGGGTGCATCTCAAACTCTGCTACCCTATTTACCAACCAGCAGGATGCTTAAGTCACCCAGGTCTGTAATGAGAAAGGCAGTTTACATCCCATTATGTGTAGTCATCTTTTTCTCAATAGTGTTATGAATACAGCTCACTGAGAGGAAGGCTGTCAAGACATTTTTCACAAAGAAAGAGTTGAGAGAGTGTGAACAGTTCACTGTGATCTGTCACATTCTAACAAGAGTGAAATTTGAAAGTTCTGCCCCAGTAGTAGATAGATAGTGCCTGAATTATTGTATTATCAAATAGATACAGCAGCAAAAATCACTTCTACCTTCTGGTTTTCTTGCTCACACAGAGTAACTGAGTTGCGTATTTGGAACAAATACATCTATACATTAAAGTATTCCTAACAGATTACCAAACACTGCTAGATTTCATCTTCTAAAATATTCATCTGTATTAAAATATTTTAAATACCTAGAGTGTGTGGAGAGGAAAAGAGAGAATAAATAATGTTCAAACTGAAACTAGTCATTTGTTAAGTGTCCACCCGCAAAACAGACTCAAGAGTTAACACAGAAAAGAGAAGAAAGATGAGCTACCTACAACCAAAGATTATACTGGAAAATGCACTGTTATATTTCTCAAGTACTTCTAGTCATTGGAAATATTTAATAAATCCCATTTTCTAAGTAAGAAAAAGTTACTTTAGTTAATGACAAAGTTTTACTAAAAACAGGATGCAATCCTCATTCACTCATGTTTAGATACGAGGCATGCAATTTATCTGTGATCACTGAGAAATTATGAATGCTGGTAGGAAAGGGTATATTTATCACATCTTAAAATCACCTTTCATAAAGAACTTTAAAGTATACTAAGGACTGAATGATCTAAATATAATACAAGAGCTCCCTTACTTTAGTTTTGGAACAAAAAACGCACAGCATTAAGAAGTGTTAAAGCTTACATTTGAAATGATAAATGTAAGAATAATACAGAAGAAAATGTATACTTTATGTCTGAGTCCAAAACCTACTCCCCAAAGGCAACTAATTTTCAAGGTAAAAAATGTTCTACCATCAAAAATCAGCTTTTTACCAGAAACTGTAGACATCCAAGTTCTAGTTTCATTTCTTTTCTACATAAGAAAATTGGCAACAGAAAGTAATTCAGTATTTTAAGAACTAAATCAAATAAACATCTACCAGACAATTTACATTATAATAAACTGATTAACAAAAAAATCATTTTTTTCCCACAACAGTAGTATATTTATTGTGCTGAATCAGGTAGCAGGGAATGAATAACTCTGGGGAACCAGTACAGAATGTTCACAAAGGTTTACAAGTCTCTAGTTATTATACACAGCAGAAACAATGGTGTTGAATCCTCTTAGACCAACCTACTGTATGTGTTGCCAACTTTTTTATAATTCTCATGGCTGCATGCCTTTGGGGAAAAAAGTTGTGTAATTTTAATGCACAATAAATATTTTATAGCTTATAAAAATTCTGAAAGTTTGTCTGCACAAACATCATACATCCTGCACATGCAGTTTTGACATGTTGTCAAAAAACTTAGAAACAGTCATGCTTTTGTTGTCACATTTTCTTTCTATAATGATCCCTGTGCAACATCCCCTAACAAATTAACCTGTCATAAAACACACTACAAATTCTCTTCCCCAGTGAATTTCAAGTTGTTCCCTTATATTACATGAAATACTTCAACTGTAAATAGCAAGTTCAATTTTGTAATTCTGACTACTCTCTTTCATTTAGTGTTTTAACAACTAATACCTTATAACATCAAGCACTGAATTTAATGATCTTTAGCACCAAGGAGTCAAGAATATTGCACCAAAATGGATTTACATTTCATATTTAGTAATAAATAAGATCTTGCAACTTAGTCACAGGGAAAATATCACTCCAAAATTAAACACAGTGAAAAGGAAGGAGAGTTTCACAGAAAAGTTGGGTGTGTGCTATTTTAAAAAGCAAAAAAAACCCAAAAAACCAGTGGATTCAAGTTAATATGATTAAAATTTACATTAGAGGACTCCTTGATTTTTTTTTTAAATTAAAATTTATTTAATTTTCAATGTTCTTTCCAACATAAGAGGTAGGTATATTTCCACATATGAAAAATTGGTAACAGATACAAATCAAAACAAGGAAAGCCTGATAAAAATCAACATACTCTCTTATACTGTTATTGACGAAGACACGAGTTGTTTCACGTTCCCATCAGACAATAATCTTACTTTTCATTATGTATTTCTGATAGCAATAGGAGTATTCAAAGGCTACCTTTTCATCACAAAAATTATTTCCCACAGTGATTTCTGCTACAAGTCACGGTGACCTTTGAGTCTCCAGACAGGATTTTACTGTAATTTTTTCTCATTTTTACCAACACCATCATCATCAAACCTCTAAGAGTCTACAGAGATCAGCAGAATTTTAAATTTTAATTACAATCAACAGGGTATATTCAGACTAGAGGTGGAGTCAACCATTCCGGTCAGCAAATGAATTCCAATGTGCAAATTTAAAAGTATCCGCATTTCCAGCTTTGGAACAGAAAATGTAATGTAACTGATTTTAATCAATAGGTAGGTAGTAATTTAGCCAAAAAATTCTTTAGAGACTATGTTTCTGTGATCGTCTAAAATTCAGACTGAAGAATGGATGTATATAAGATACATGGAAAATCGCATCCATTAGACAAATAGATGTGAGCAGAGCGAGTGTCCAAAGTCACATGATGATTGCTTTGGTCTGGACAACATCAAGGCTAATAAAAAAGTGTTTAAAATAAAAACTTCATAAATAAAACATCAGGGTGTTGTATTTAACACTTTACTCATTCTAAAGATACTAGTACTTAGAGCACATTTGCCTTTTCTCCCCACCCCAAAACCTCATTTGTATGTTTTCCCTGAAATTTTGTACGAAATGGGAGTTTCCTCACTGTCAACAACAGTTAAGGCCCAGTTCAATTTACTCTCCTTTTGCCTTTCCATTTTTCTGCTTTTTTCCATTTTCTATCACTAGCTGTTTTTCTGATTTGTTTACACCATTTGCTGAAATATCATTCACAGTTGTTTTTCCAGTTTTTGATTTCTTAGGCACATTGTATGTCCGAACATAGAAGTTAAGAAAGAGAAATATGAAGCTGATGGCGTAGACAATTAGAGCCCAGTGCATCCATTTTGGGAAGGGACAATCAGTCCACAGAGACAATGCTGTGTGTCCAATGGTCACATGGAACTGAATCTGAAAAACAAAAACAATCCAGGTCACATGGAACTGAATCTGAAAAACAAAAACAATCCAGGATACACTTAATCTGAACAGTACACAACTTTAACAACAACAGAATCTTCTATTCAGCTATCTAAACCCAAATTTTGCCACACTGTCTCAAGCTTAAAAGTTCTCTGATTCCCACAGCTGGCTCCTTCTCATTCAGCTCACAAGTGAAATGTCATCTCCCACCCAAGTAAGGGCTTCCTGACCACTTGAATGAAAGTACCTTTCACCCAAATGGCCCCCTCTCTATTCCAATTAACTAAAGCATTTATTTGTTTGCTTTCTTTATAACAATCATAGCTGTCTGAAATTGTCTTTTGTATTTGTTTCCTGTCCATCTTTGCAGTAGAATTTAAGTCCAGAGGGCAGGGCTTGATCATGTCATTGATGAGTCCTAAATTCTCAGCACACTGTCTGGACTCAATGAGTATCTGTTAAATAATACCATCTAATGAGAGGGAATATCAATGGTCAAAAAGAGTAAAAGGTTTATGATTCGAGTCCACCCAGAGGTGCCTCTGAAGAAAGGCCTGGCAATCTACTTCTGAAAAATCAGCCATTGAAAACCCTATGGAGTACAGTTCTACTCTGACATACATGGGGTAGCCATCAGTTGGAATCAACTCGATGGCAACTGATTGGCTTAGCCTTCATAGTATTAACATCCTATTTGTAACAGACAATTGTGGTTTCTCCTTTAAAGATAGCATTATCAATATTAACTATTATATTAAATATTATTAAAAACAACTTATTCCATCTAAGTCAGAAATTTATATCAAAACTAAATAATTTTACAGTGTTCTAAGAGAAAATTCAGATTTTAAAAGCTTGGGTTTCACATCACTGAAAAAGGGTGTGCATATGGGTATGACTGAGTATGGGATCACTCAAGAAGAGCCAGGTGCAGGCTCCAAAAAAATAGATATAAATGGTTCACATCATTTTTGACGTCTCTTCATTTTCTACTAAAAAGCAGGAAAAATGAATTACAGAAACTGTATGAACCGCCTGTACAAAAAGCTGAAGGAAGCTTCCATACCCTGTTTTAGTTACAAGTGAACCCTTCACACCCAGCACTCTCCAAAAGTTGTGTTTCCTGTTTGGTTAGTCAGCTATTTAGCAACATAAAACATGAGATGGATAGTATTTCCAAATGTGATTCCACTGATAAAACTATGTACATGCTATGATTAAAGCAAATTATAATAAATCCCAAGGCTTGAAGAACAGCTACCAGGTTGGTTTTAGACTTTCAGTTTGATTACAGGCTAGTGCCCACCTCTGAATGTTACACTGACACATCCAGGTGCTACATGAAGTCCTACTGTGGGTATGTGCTGAAAACTGTCCGGTATGAACACCGGCGTCTGAAAATACCGGACTCTGCTCTCTAAGGACTGGGGTTTAGAGAATTAAGAAGAGTTTTCTGGTGCTTATTTCCCTCACTTTAAACCACCCCTTCCTTGGCTCTGTGCTTCCTTTCCAACTTCTACATTCTAAACATATGGGGTATAATAACAAGAAATGAAAAGTGGAAAAGGAACCAGAAAACAAAGCAAGTACAAAATGAAGAGAGGTAATAATAAATTTTTTTAGATTTAAAACAAAATCAACTGAGGAAAGAATTATATTTTTTCTAGTCGTACATGAGTCTATGTACTTCACTGTGTACAATCCTTAGATATTTAATCATCCATTTCACAGATATTTTAAAAGAATGTTTCTCTTTAAAGGGGTAAGTGCTGTGTCTAGTCTAGATGTTAAGGAAGGAAGTGGCTATGACTACTAGGTCTATGAGTGGGCAGGTTGTAGTAAAAAAGTCTCAACTGCTAAAGCTAGAAAAACTGCTAAAGAAATTTAATTGTGTAACAGAAAATTGTATAAAATGACTTAATATTTTCCAATTAATAAAATTAAAACGTTTTCAGTGTTTCACCAGAAGAAACTTTAAAGGTATTTAACTCACCAGCTGCAACACGGTCAAGTACCGTTTCCACCAGAGATACTTCTGAATCCAGGAGCCAAATGCAGTTAACCCATAGTATAAGTACATAATCACATGGATAAAGGAATTCATCTGGGCTCCAAAAAATGCTTTAGAGAAACAAGAGATAATTGCAAAATACAGAAAATGTTGTTAAGCCATAAACCTTCTGGATATAAATAAATGAATTCACATTATTTTTAACATTCAATCTTGCGTATACATAAGGAATAAAAGATTTAGTACTAATGGAAAAGCCTTCCCCTCCGATCAAGCTAGGTATTTTAAAACTTTAGATTTGGGTTTTTATCATATAAATAACAGCGTGTGCTGTTCAAATGGAAAGGATCCTCAAAGTGGCAAGTTTTAAGTTTTCAAATGGTGCACTCCAGTGAGCTTAGGTAGGCTCTAATAATAGAATCATTGCCTATATTATTTTTAATTCTACCATTCTTGGGGAAAAAAAAGGACAAGTCACATAGAAAGTTTTAAGTAGACTTGTAAACTTTCCATTATTGCCTTTAGATGTGTCAATATACATATTTACAACAAAACACTACTTATTTAAATACTATTTAAAGAATTTTTTAGTTTTAAATATGATAGCACTACACACACCGAATAATTCATTGAGTACAAGTAAATTTACACAGATATTCCAGTTTGTCTAAATCAATGGCATTCTTTCTCTTCAGAATTAGAATTAAATCAAGTACAGTTGTAATAAAAATAAATCTTGTCATAAAGTGATTTAAGATGTCAGTTCAGATTTACTAATTCTCTTTCAAAATTAGTTTTACTTTAACTGTAGTGTTTTAAATTGGGACCCCAATAATAATTTGTGTGAATTCCTAAGTTGCCAATTACCATAATATGATAATGGAAGTAGCAACGTGAACTGTACTAAAATGACTTGTACCCTGGATCCCCATCAGAAGAATGGTTTCTGGCCACTAATATGAATCAACCTCAAGCTACAGGCATCTGAAAACACTGAGGGCAGATCTGGGCCAAACTGTAAAATTAGATCCTCATTAACAGGGCTGTCTAAATCCCCTCTGAATACAAACCAGCAAGGTTATCTAAGGCCTATTTTAGAGCAGGCGTGGGCTCTGGGTTTGGAGTGAAGACAAAGTCTTCAGACTAAGGGATTGCATCTTGCTGTCCTTTGGATCAGAACTACCAGAACTGCTCCCCATCAAAATACTGTTTTCTCCTTTAAGCTTGGTTTATGCTCATCTCTGAGGGAAATCTTTAGATGCTGAAGTAGTCAAAAAGTAAATGCTAAAGCTTTAATTTCTTCAAATTTTTTAAAAATGAAATTAACACAGAATAGTTAATGATAAAAGCAAGTTAAATGACAGACCAAGTCAAATTCCCAGGTCTCCATTACTTTCCAGACAGTACATTTACTGTATATTTTAATATACATAAATATGTTCTAAAAATGCTCACCTTGTCCCCCTGCCACCCACTTAATTCCAATCCACCACAATGTAAACATTGTACAATGATGATATACATGAAGGAAAGAGACTTGGTTATTTTTCTTCCTTAGGATAAAAAAAACTGTGTCCAAATATTCAACGCCTTTAGATACAAAGTACCACCACAGAGCAGCAGCTATCTGTAAAAAGAAAGGAAAGTCATGTTGTAAACACCAGACTGACATTATCATACGTTTTTCTACTCATTTTAAATAAGTCCAAAATTATCTTCATTGCACAAAATGTAGAAGGCACGGAATGGAATCATTTTGGGCTGAGTAGGTTTGAAACTTTAGCATCTACCTGCAAGGAAGAAATGGGAAAGAAAGAGCTATATCTGCACACTGCCAATGATTCAGAAATAATTCTCAGTCTGTTAAATAGCTGGATGTTACACGGCTTCAAACTGCTGAAAACGAATTTGCAAACACATTCACATTGCTATGTCTTTCAATTTGGCGGAGAAACTGAGATGTTTATTTTGTAAGGACATCTTAGTTGTTCATGCCTAATATACATTATACCTGAGATACACTCACAGGTAAGTTTGTACAGCAACTCGCCTCTGTCAGTGTCTCTGCCTCTTTCTCACTTTAAAGTCTGCAGCAAAGTAAGTATAGCAGTTTGTGTTAGGAAGTAAAATCTTTACAATGATAAATTAAAACAAACAAAAATAACAAATATTTCCTATTCCTAGGTCATAAATATAATCCTGCTTACATGCATAAGTCTTCTCTTTTCCTGGGCTCTAATTAAGACACCAGATGGTACAGAAAGATTACATTACATTGAGAGATTAGGGATCCTGTGAGAGGTGACCTCTGTGTATATGTTTTAAAATATTTTACAAGAATCCTACTATAACAATAGTCTAAACTTTTTTATGTCAAATGTTTTCTATGATAAACCTCCTATGTACAAACAAATAACAAACAAGGCAGTATGAAAGTGAAATCTGTTTATATACCTTCGTGTGTCAGGGGCTTGACACAGATTCATTCAAAGACAGGCTTAGGTGTTTCAGAGTTGAAAGATCCCTTCCTTATTTTCTATCTACATCTGTTGGCTGTCATGAGGTTTTTTTTTGTTTTGAAAAACAAATTGCAATTTTAAAGAGTGGGCAAAGAGGAAAGAGAAAGTTCAAAGGAAAAAAACAGTCTTATTTACGTGTTGAGAACTACTTACCGAATTTGCTTGAATAATAATATTGTTGAAAATGGTAAAATTCGTTGACAATAGGTATGAAACAATTTACTCACAGCAACACTACAGTTAATTCTATTACATTAGTACTTTAAAGTAACTATAACCATTTTAGCATAATAAATGTTGTCCAGAAGGTAACAATGTCTTAGAATTCTTTTCCTTAGTTTGTAAACTGCATTAGATGTATTTGAATAGGCTACACCAAAATGATAAGTGATACTTCTTGGCTACATAACAGATTAATTAAAAAAATGATTCTCTGAGTAAAATATTCAGTTTACTGCATCCAATAAATATAACAATTATTAGCACTATGAAAAACTAAAATTCTATGCTGAAACTGAATAACCCATATTATCATACTTTCACTGCATTTCTTATAAAATGAACTACACTGAAAAATTAAAAAGTACTCATATTAGTTGTGAGAGGGAATATACTAATGGTGTATAAGTTTTATCAAAATCCATAACGTCTTCTAATTTCAGGTAACCTATTAAAATTAAAACAAGCATAAAGAAGCATTCTGGAATTATTCATTCTTACTGCAACATAAACGTTGAAAAAGAACCAACTTTTTTACAATGCTTTATACCTATTTTTTCCTATCATTTTACTTTAAGCAATATCTGGTTAATTTTCATCCAGCAAAACTGAAGATTTTGGATTGTTGGGAGATTGTGGTGGAGAAAGTCCTGGCGTGGGGGGTAGGATTCCATGTACGTTGTAGGGCAAATAATACCCTTATTAATATCTGCTAACCAATTTTCTTGGTAGGTTTAAATTCTGACAGTGAGGGTATAATTTAAATTTTTATTTGTAAGGTAATAAAATCTTACTTAGACTGAGAAAAATAACATAACATTTGACCATGAATGGGGTGTTATTGTTTTGCAATTAGAACCTTATGAGCAAATGAGAATATGTATATACAGGTCTATAAAATGCATGCTTTGCTACCTGATTTACCAAGAGCTAACAATCACGTAACAGCACAATCTCTTTAGATATTAGATGAGGATGTTTCAAAAGTCTCAATTGCTCCCATAAAGACAAACGTATAAATTCACTGGCTACAAATCCTAGCTTATATACTACACTAGGGGTACATTTCAGATGTGTAACATTTTAATTGGGTGAGTTGCTCCAAATGAGGTTTAGTTTAAGTTGAGTATATATGTGTGTGTTGGGTGGGTGGTGATGAAGAAAAAAAGAGTTGGGGAGAGGAGAGAGAAAGAAAGATTTCAAATACAATCCGCAGCAAATCTCAGGTTCTTTCTCCTCCTAGATTACAGCTCTCACAGTAGCTGATTTTTTAAAGAACTGACAGTTTATACAGGTCAGGAGGATATGTTCACAATTACAATGGTACAGTAAAACCTATGAATGCCAGAACTTGTGTGAGGCAGAAACCTGTCAGAGAAGGAAAATGCAAACATTTTCCACTAACAGAGAGTGATAGGAAAGTGGTAAGACTGTACTCTGTCAAAGGCGGAAAACTTGGGAGACCAGAAAAACAAGGCAGTCCTGGCGAATTCCAGCTCTCACAGGTTTCACTGTACTTTTTAACTTTATCTTAAAAAAATTTGTTGTCTCATCCAAGGGTATCTGAGCACACACCTCGATGAAAGCAAGTCAAACTCTTATCCTTTCCTCCTCCCCCAAACCAAGCAAGACCAGAGAAGTCAGCTCTAGACTAAGGAGGTTCTCTGGCAATATGGTTATCAGAAGAAAAAATTTTCCTCGTCAACAAACTGAAATAAAGTAGTACCCTCATGCTCTCTCAGAGTCACATCACAGCTTTTATTTTCTTCTTACCCATATGTCATGTAATTATAGTCTCTCTCTCCCACTCCCACTAGCATGTAGCCCCATGAAGGCAGAGACTCATCTGTCTTTTCACCTGTGTCTCTAATGCCACTCACAGTATCTGCACACAGGAGAGGTTCTATATACATCTGCTGAATAAAGAAAACCAACATGATAACCAAAGGGGTGGTTTTTCACCAGTACAAAAGTCTTCTAATAAGGAAATGAAGTTATGGACATAAAATATTAAGTAAATTTAAGCAATTCGGTTTTGGGTCTTGATGAATACTGACATTTATACTGTCCAGCCCCCATGTCAGAAAGTTATTTTTTCCAAGGGACGCTACTAGCATTATATTTTACATGTTGTTAAGAGCTCGGCTGCTAACAAAAGGGTAGGCAGTTTGAATCCACCAGCTGCTCCTAGGAAACACTATGGGGCAGTTCTACTCTGTCCTATAGCGTTACTATAAGCTGGCATCAACTTGACAGCAATGGGTTTGGTTTTGGTTTATTTTATGTATGTTTTATGCTATACATTATTTTTAGTACGAATGACAGTACGTAAGAGGGGATCCAATAAATACTTTAAAAAAATAATTTGTTGTTTCTGTCATTTGAGTAAAATTCTAAGTTTACTAATGCAGTGACTGCAAAACAAAATATGTTAACATATTACTAGTGGCTTATTTTTACACAAATATAATAAAAACTGAGTTCACACCTATATAAATTGTGCTACCTTTAACTTGCTATACAGGCAGTCCCCAGACTACAACCAGATCTGTTCCTAATGGTGTTTTTAAGTCGAATTTGTAGGTAAGTCCGAACAGGTACATATGGTTCTTATTTAGCCTTACTTTAGTGCAAGAAAAGGCCCGCAGCCTTTTCAATTATTTAAAAGCTGCACGAGCAGCAAATGAAGGTGATGAAAGATTTGTTGCCAGTAGTGGTTGGTTGGAGCCCTGGTGGCGCATGGTTAAGAGCTCAACTGCAGATCAAAAGGTTGGCAATTCGAATCCACCAGCCACTCCTTGGAACCCTGATGGGGCAGTTCTACTCTGCCCAATAAGGTCACTATGAGTCGGAATCAACTTGATGGCAACAGGTTTGGTTTGGTGTGTTTTAGCAGTTGGTTAAATGGTTTCAAAGTGAGGGCAAATTTATATAACATTAAAGGGTAAGTACAAGTTGTCCAATTGTCTGTAAGTCAGATGTTCGTAACCTGGGGACTGCAGGTACATTATATAGTGCATAAACATTTGTTTTTTCTTAACAAATAAATTGGACTCACTTCATAGGTTTCTATTCTTAAGCAAAAACAACAAAAAAATCTAAAATAATATCTTTACACTAAACATACAGCTTCTTTTTTTAAAAAAAGGATTTCATTCTACTAATCAAACACATATTCACTCTTACGCTACCAAATGAAAGATGAAAGATTATACTGGAGGTATGAAAACAGATTTTCAATTATGTCTTCTTAAAGTAAAGCATGGTTTTACTGATTCTAAACAATTCAGTATAATTTCACTACCATGTTAAAGTACATTTTTCACAGACTGGGGCTTATAAAATAAATCTATTTCCTCTGATAAACAGTATTTTTAAGATACTTACCCTGACTTCATGAGCATTATCTGAATAATCCACACTCTGGCAAATATAGCTATATCCTGCATTATATGATCCCATGAATAACTGGGGAAAGAAAGGAATATTTTAGGTTTTAGTAGATATAGCATTAAAAAGAGTAATACAATATGCAACCTTTCAAATTATTCTAAAAACAGTATTTTCTTAAAAAATTTCAGTTCTAAATGATAAAAATTCCAAATCATTAAACATAATTTAATACATCCAAATTTCTTAAAGTTACTGTGTCAATTTTATTTTACAAATGAAATCTTAATTAAAAATCACATGTAACTTTTGTACTGAGACATCAACTTTACTATATAATACTGAAAGAAATTTTGATTACCATGACTGAAATCTAAGAGTTGTCCTGCTTTAACTGGTTTCTATTCTTGATCTGGAGCCCTAGTGGGGTAGCTAAGAGCTCGGCTGCTAACCAAAATTTGGCCGTTTGAATCTACCAGCCGCTCCTAGGAAACCCTATGGGGCAGTTCTACTCTGTCTTAGAGGGTCGCTATTAGTTGGAATCCACTCGATGACAACGGATTTTTTATTCTTGGTCCACAGTGGCCAATTTGCGTAACAATTTGGGTAAATGTATACAAATAAAGTTTTTATGAAATTGAGATTCTGTAAGCTAAGTTGTCAATTATAGAAAGTTCTTTTTTTTTTAAAGGGAGTTGCTGTTTATTTTCCTGGCATTGTTAGTCCTGTTCTCTAGGATCATGTAAAATTTTTAACTTTGAGGAGTCTCTTAAGAAACGAATTCCTTACACTCACACATCTACCTTTCCTTCTAAAATGTCATGGAGATTTGCTAGGGCCCAGAAAGCACATGATTAGTAGCCACAGTGGTATGATACATAATTTTATACCTCACCTCATTTTAGTTCCAACTCCAAATGAACGACATATGTAACAGAATTTAACTTGACATTGGTATTTTACATCTGCATATTTTGATCAGTGACCAAACCTAAAACTGCTGATTAAAAATTATAAATAAATAGCTTCTAATGTTTACTGAGAGCTTAACATATGCCAAGCACTATGCAAAAATTATCTCACTTAACTTCGGTAACAACCCTAGAAGGCTGGTATTATTCCCATTTTACAGAGGGGGAAAATGAGTTTCAGAAAAGTTAAAAAAAAACTTCCAATGTCAAAAGAGCTAAGAAGTGTTATATATCTGACTCAAAATCTATTTTAAACCACTGTCTTATACTTTATGTATGCTTATATAAGTGTATTTATTTTGTGTGTGTGTATAAACATATCTCCTTTTTTTTTTTTAACTTCTTCTTCTTTATGAATCTTCTTAAGCATAAGTTGGATTTAATCTTTTTGGTATCCTAAAATGAAAAATGTTAGTAATACAGAATTTACTTTTAGAATAGCTAACAGTTATCTTGGGGTACAATATTCCAATGATGGATTTACGCATTCTCATTTTTTAATATCCCATAACCCTGAGGATTACTATAGAGTGACCTTAAACATACCTCTCTGAAGATAAAAAAGTTAAGCAAAACCATCCCAAAATTATAGAGAATGAGCACTAAGCGCATCTGAAAAGGTTCTCGGTTCTTCATCCATTTTGGACCCAGCCAAACAAACAGGAGATAGAGAGTACTTATACTTAGTGTAGGCAGTGGAGACTGCATCAGAGGCCAATTTTCCACACGTTTATCTAGACAGAACAGAATAATATAAAATGGTATTAAACAATAAATGTTTCATAAAATGAAATTATTGGAGTCATAATGTTTGAACTTAATTTTCTAATTTAACCAAATACAGATTGCTGTCCTTTGAGTCCTAACAAAAATACATTGTATAAAAAAATCAAAGAAACAAGACAGATTCCTGTGAGTAGCTTTTGAAAATTAAGTTTCATTACTTACGTTACACATTAGTTACACATTATGTTTTACAAATAATCTAGGGAACAAAGACAAAAAATAAAGCTCACTAAAAATACAGAAGATAAGTTTGGGATAAAAGTTAATGAAAGACTTAATAAAAAAACAAATATTTTAAGGAGAATTGCTCTCTATGTCCATGCCTGAAGCAGAAAAGTACATAGTAGACTGAAGATGTGTGGGGCAATGGAAGGCATTGCCTGGAATATCTCTGGTACCGAATACAAAACTACATTTTTATTTGGAGGAATTAAGTTGGAGATCATTGTTGCTGTTGTTAGGTATTGTCGAGTTGGTTCAACTCATAGTGAGTGACCTTATGTACAACAGAACAAAACACTGCCTGGTCCTGTACCATCTTCACAACTGTTCTAATGTTTGAGCCCACTGTTGCAGCCACTATGCCAATCCACCTTGTTGAGGGACTTCCTCTTTTTTCACCAACCCTCTACTTTACAATGCATTATGTCCTTCTCCAGGGACTGGTCCCTCCTGATAACATGTCCAAAGTATGTGAGACAAAGTCTCACCATCCTCACTTCTAAGAAGCAATCTGGCTGTACTTTTGCCAGGACAGATTTGTTCATTTTTCTGGCAGTCCGTGGTATATTCAATATTCTTTGCCAACAGCATAATTCAAGGGCATCAATTCTTTTTCGGTCTTCTTACTCATTGTCCAGGTTCCACATGCGTATAAGACAACTGAAAATACCTTGGCTTGGGTCAGGCGCAGCTTAGTCCTCAAAATGACATCTTTGCTTTATTTATTTATTAATTATTGTACTTCAGGTGAAGGCTTACAGAACAAATAGTTTCTCATGAAACAGAAGTACACGTTATTTTATGACATTGGTCAACAACCCCACAACATATCAACCCTCTAACTTCTCAACCTCTTTTTTTTTTGGTGAAAATACACATAGCTAAAGATACAACATTCCAAAAATTTCTACATGCACAGTTCAGTGACATTGACTACGCTCTTCCAATTGTGCTGTTATTCTCACTTAAGATGAAGGCTTACAGAACA